CTCTGAAGATGCCGGCCACAGAGACTGGTGAAACGTTAGGAAGAACAACCTTTAGAACACGGCCAAAGAGCCCGAAAAACCCACAACAACCAAGTGTAACATTTACAGTGGTGCCTCACTTAATGAGTGCCTCGCTTAATGACGAATCCGCATGTGTTATTAGCGATCGCAAAAGCGATCGCATTGCAATGTTCCTAATGGCCAAAAATCGCTTTGTGGTGATCGGTAAGATTTTCGCATACCGATGTTTTTTTAACAGCTGATCGTGGTTCCAAAATGGCCGCTGGGTAAAGAAAATGGCCGCCCGCACTGTTTTCGCGCCCTTTCCTCGCTTATCAGGCAGCAAAAATGGCGGCCGTATGGAGGATTTTCACAGAACTGTGAGTTTTTTTTGCCCATAGGAATGCATTAAACGTGTTTTAATGCGTTCCTATGGGCTTTTTTGCCCCACATAGCGACAAATCCACATAGTGATGATTTTTTCAGAACGGATTATCATCGCTATGCGGGGCACCACTGTATCGGTGTATTTAACACCAATAAATGTCTGCAAATTGAGTCCAACCTTTATCTCCTTCCGACAACGGGTCAGCAAGGGGCTTCCCATCTTCATTCATAAATGGGTTTCCTTCACCCAAGTTCCAAGGTCCTGGCCAGTCCAAAGATAGGTTCGGGTTTAGCATCGATCCTGCCTCGCCCTCCAACAGGGGGACAGTGTCATCATCCCGGTGGTCCATCCACAAGGGGTCCCGGATGGGTCCTCCTAGTATCCTCTCATCCTCATTTCTCTCACCTTCCATTCAAGCCTTTCTCTTCTTTCTTTTTCTACTTTCTCCTTCTCCTCTCTCAACCTCCTTCTCCACTCCCCAATATGAGGGTCGTGGTGTTATTTCCCTCCTTCTTCAGTAGTCTGCCTCCTCCTTGGGGACCCTTAGTCTCTCCCACGCTCCGGTCCAGGGGTCCTCCATTCAGAACCCGTCCCAGCCTGGTGGCAACTGATCCTCCCTCTTCCTTATATCTGCTACTCCCGCCTCTAACTCCACCCTTGCCTTCCACTCTATTCCCCCCATTTTTCCCCCGCTTTTTCTAACTGCTAACTTTTGTATTCCCCTCTCTACTTTTCCCGGGTCTGTCTCCAGCTGCTCCATTTTCTTAGGGGGAGAGACAGGCATGGTTTGAATCTCCTTTTCCATGGTGAGGTGGAGGGACGGCACTCCTGCAAGAGGTGTACTGCCCTCGCCTCCAGTCTCACAGTCCCCAAAGGGAAGGCAGCCAAGTGGGACCATCCCAGTCCTCTTAACCCTTGTATTGTGTGGAATGGGAAAAGAAGCAAGTACCTGGCGAACCAGCTCCACCAAAAGTCAATGCTGCTGGAGGAAGCACCATAAAGCTCATCAGCATCAAAAGACAAAGAAGCAGAGAGACCTGTGGAATCTGGAGGACAACTGACCCCATGGAGGAGAATCCCCACATACCTGCCAGCATACTGGCAGAGAACAAGACTGGTGTGAGACACTTTGTCAGTGGGCTTGATCTGAAAGGACCTGTAGAGAGTTGAGTGAAGTTAACTGGACTCTCCCATGGACTGTCATTCTCCCCAGTGGGAATAGTTAGAACAGATGAAAGCAAAGAAACATATGTTACTGTTTCAATATCTTACTAGGGAAAAGAAAATTCAACCCTGCTCACTTGCATGGCCTATGAAATAATAGGATGCTTATGAAGGAGCAAAGGCTGACTTTATGATGTAATGTAAAAATGCAGACATGGAGACTACATGCTGAATAAAAATTTCATCTGGTCTTTGGCCGTAATAAAGTATTCTTCTTCTTCTTCTTGAATAAAAATTCTCTTTCTAAGTGTGAGCCTTGCCAGTACTTTTGATCAATATTATACTCCAGACCAACAGATTGGAATACTATAGAGTTTATAGAACTAGAGCATACACTATAGGGAGAAAACATGCAGGGAAGATTCCCCAGGGAGTGAAGCCTGGCATGAGAACACTTGGCCAGTGGATTTGATCTGAAAGGACCTATAGAGAGTCTAGTGGAGTTAACTGAAATGCTGGTTAGGTCAGTGGTTTAGGCCAGTGGTTCTTAACCTTGGGTTATTCAGGTGTTTTTGGACTGCAACTCCCAGAAGCCTTCACCACCAGCCGTGCTGGCTGGGGTTTCTGGGAGTTGCAGTTCAAAAACACCTGAGTAACCTAAGGTTAAGAACCACTGGTTTAGGCATCTGGCTGCGAGGCCACAGATTGGAAATTCAATTCCCTGCTGTGCATCGACATGGGCTAGACTCGATCCATAGCAGTGGTCCCCACCTTTGGGCCTCCAGGTGTTCTTGGACTACAACTCCCTTTACCACTACCTCTGTTGGCCAGGATTTCTGGGAGTTGAAGTCCAATAACATCTGGAAGCCCATGGTTGGGAACCTCTGATCTATAGCATCCCTTCCAGCACTGCACTTCAAAGATGATGATTATGATGTTTATAATTGAACTCTCCAGCTGACTGTCATTCTCTCTAGTGAAGGGAACTTGGGGCAGTGCAGGGAAATGAGATTAAGGAACCCAGTTGATCTGAAATAACAGTTGTCGTTAACCCCCTTCCAAGTTCTATAAACTCTATAGTGTTCCAGTATGTTGGTCTGGAGTATAAGAACATAAGAATAGCCCTTCTGGATCAGGCCAAAGGCCCATTCAATCCAGCTCCCTGTATCTCACAGTTGCCCCACCAGATGCCTTTGGGAGCACAAGAGACAGCAAGATAGCTGTCTCCTGATACCCCTCCCCTGCATCTGGCATTTGAAGGTACTTTCCTTCTAAGCCTGGAGATTGTACATCCCCATCGTGGCTTGTAACCTGCAATGGACTTTTCCTCCAGAAATCTGTCCGATCCCCTTTTAAAGGCATCTAGACCAGATGCTGTCACCACATCCTGTGTCAAAGAGTTCCACAGACTAACAACATGTTGGATAAAGAAATATTTTCTTTTGTCCTCACTCTCTCAACAATCAAATTGAGTGAATGTCCCCTGGTTCTAGTATTGTGTGAGAGGGAAAAGAGCTTCTTTCTATCCAGTTTATCCATGCCCTGCATAATTTTATATGTTTCAGTCATGTCACCCCTCAGGCATCTTTTCTCTAAACTAAAGAGCCCCAAACGCTGTAGCCTTTCCTCATAAGGGAGGTGTCCTAGCCCAGATCAAAGGTGCTGGCAAGGCTCACATCTAAAAAGGGAATTTTAATTCAGCATGTAGTCTCCATGTCTGTTTCTTTTCTTTCATCTTTTCTGAACAATGGTGTGCAGATTATAATACAGATCTTGCAGACTAGCAAAGGTGTAAGTGAAGAAATTGTTCACGTATTTGGGGGACTCTAAATACATTTGAAGAAATATATTAGAAAAATAGGCATGTTTAACGTCACTCTGATTACTTGTTAGCGCAAACTGCAATTTAAAGACAACAGAGTGTTGAGAGTGTTGTCTTTGTTGCTTGTAAGCATGATAGATGGACAATATTTCACAGTTTACATTAGAAAATTGTGAGAAAAGTAATTATCCAAAGATTATTAGAAGTTTGGATATTAAGATTTTCTGTTTAAATTTTAATTGGCTTTTTTCACGATAATTGGTTTTATTCCCACATGTTTGTGAAAAGGGGGCACTGGGCTAATTGGCTCTGGCGCATATATGTATTTTAAGAAAATATATAATAATTGTTAACAATTGTCTTGTGATACCGTTTCTTTTAAAAATATAAACATATTTTGCCAGATATTAATAGCAAATCATTTACATTTCCTGAATGTTCTTCATTACCTCTTTTTCCTAATACTGAAAATGCCTATAGTGTTATATATTGAGAATTCCATTTCTAAAGCCAGGTTGAGCTTCTTTTGTGATCTAAATACATTTTGGACTAAGCATGAAATAGAATACAGTAGTCATATTTTGGAGCATTCATGTAATTTGATTTAAATATTTATTAAATGTATTCAGAGTACAGTATTAATTGCTGGAGTGCCCAACAGTATTCACCTGATTCAGTTTCACAGATGAGTAGAATCTATAGAAGATACCAAAGGTCTAATTGAAGAGCAAGGGACTAGTGCCCCCCTCAATATGTTATTGGTCTGCAACTTCTAACAACCCTAGTCAGCATAACAAATGAGAGTTGTAGTCCAGCAACAAAAACGCCACAACTGCTCCAATAATGGTATGAGCTGTGTTTCTGAGCATAAGTTGCACTGAACAAGTATAAAGCAAGAGAGGACTACATGAAAGCAAATGCATGATAAGTGAGAAGGGTATTCCGAACACTGAAATCATTGCTGCCTAACACTCTCTTTTTTAAATGACATATTTGTAATTTTTTTATGTCAGTCCATAACCCATATCAAACTGATTGTTTTAGTGAAGTTGCTCTGAAGAGAGAACTTTGAGGAAGAAGAATTAATCCCTACACATTCCATGTATTTCTTACCTAAGAATGTGAAGCCAGTCATGTCTGTCTATGTTCTGTTCTTTCTGAACTTTAGTGCTTCAAGCAGTCTAGCCTTTTTGTTAACCCCTTGTTAAATGTTAGAAGCAGAAAGGATTAATGGTAGCTAAATTTCACGATGAATGAAAATGGATAGTACATGTATCATAATATAGTACTGTAAAGAGAAAGAAACACTTGAAAAGCCTCTTTATTAATCTCATGGCTAAATGTGACATCTTATTCTTAAATGTTACACTATTCCAAAGATGATCAACAGCATCTGCTCATTTTTTAAATGTCCCAAGGATGGCTATGCTGTATTATCCAGTAACAGACAGTGATAGAGGCGGTTACTACCCTGTGGGGGGCACCTGTTATTTTCTTCCATTAACCAATTTTATGCTGACCACACATCAACTTACAGTACTTGCTTTTTCAGTCCAGTTTTATTGATTTAGAGAAACTTATACTGTATTTGAAATGTAATTGCATGTTTTCATCTTTAATAAGCAGGAAATGGAAGATAGTGAAACAGAAAGCACCATCTCTACTTATGCGTTCTCATCTGAAAGTTCAGAAAGAAATAATGAAGTTTTAACTCCATTACTGTCTTCACATCAAATGAGTAAAAATTCTACAGTACTAAGAAAGTATGTGAGTATAATCAACCCAGCTTTAGATTTCTTATGTAGCAACACAAAGACCAACTTTCCTCCTCTCATATTCTAACATTTAATGAGTTAAGAACACCCTTTAGCTTTCTCCAAACTCACCATTCTGAAAATGTCCAACTTCAAAATTGTTTCATCCAAATTTATTTTATTTTACATGACTGTCTGCCATCTCCTCTTTGCTCTAGATACCCTGTGCAACACTAGCTTGGTTTTTTCTTCCTTTCTGTTATCACAGTTAAAAAACCCATGCTGTCTTAGTAACTATTCTCCTGCGCAACCATAGGCACATCTGAAAGAAAATGGCAGGAAATTCAAATTCCTAACTGTAGTTGGCAACGAGGCTGCTCCTTTGTAGCTCTTTTGCCCCAGCAGTTAGAGAGTGTGCGTCAGAGGAGGCTTGAGACTTCCTCACTTGTGCTTCTGAATAAGTGTGTGTGTGTGTTTGCAGGGAGGCTGTGGGCTGCCTGGTAAGGTAAGGTGCTATTTTCTGCTTTTTAAAAACTGTTCTGGGTGTTTTTGCAGTGTGGGTTTGGGCTGGGGGGGTTATGTTTCTATGCTGTGATGAGTCTTGGGGGGGTTTGTTTATTTTTTGGTTCCCCCCCATTTCCGATGGGTCTTTGGGGGCTTTGTTGCTTTTTGGAGTGTTTTTTCCCCATTTCCAATGGGTCCTGGGGGTTTGTTTGTTGGTTGTTTTTTTCCCCATTTC